AAGTATATATACTTAATAGTATTATAACACATTATGCAACAAATATTCGGTATGCAATCTTTTTACATACCTTGCATAACGATTAAGTATATATACTTAATAGTATTATAACACATTATGCAACAAATATTTGGTATGCAATCTTTTTACATACTTAGCATAACAATAACATTTATAGCTTTTGCGACTTAAGTTACTCGTAATAAAAATTTCTTTACTTTATTTTTATCATAGACTTACCACTCATCACGTTGTTGCTATTATCGACAATGTATTAAGATTCCCATCGATAGAAAGAGCATCTTTAGTCAAACACGTAGAACCTTTAATATTATCTCTATCATTTATATTATCACAAAGCGTCAAGTTAGAATCAGACTTTTGGTTTGTATTCCACTGTTCACAGTTATTGCTTGACAAAACGCAAGTGCCTTCTTTGATTTCAGATGTCGTATTTAGTGTCCCAATATTCAACATTACATCATTGGAATCAACAGCTAGTGATGAATCTGTAAAACAAGATTTATGAAAATAAAGTAAAAATAGCTTTATATATAAACATAAATATAATTTTGGTAATTATTTAAAATACGGGCCTGAACGCGAATATAGATAAAATTATGTTCAATCGACGTGTTTTTGCACGAAATGAAAGAATCTGGCAGATAAACGCGGCGGTCTGCCTCGCAAACCGAGATATTAACGGTTAAATGTGACGACTATCAGGTTATGAGACCTGTCATACTGACGAGATGTAGCGACTATGAACATGCCCTGCGGCCATATGCGCATGCTCAGTGGCCGCACGCGCATGCAGCAGATCACGTGACAACTATTTGGTTGGTAAGTCAGAAGTGTAACATAATTCGAAATGATATATATTCTTTCGGCGTATAGATTAGTGACGCTTTAAAAGTATTTAAATGTTTAAAACGCGTCAACTAACCTATGTAAGTTAGTAACGCGCTTTAAAAGTATTTAACTGTTTAATGATTTTCGTTAAAGCAGGACACACAAACACGTGTGTATGTCCTGCTTTATAGAAGTTGTGATTTTCGTTAAAGCAGGGCACACACACACACGTGTGTATGTCCTGCTTTATAGAAGTTGTGATTTTCGTTAAAGCAGGGCACACACACACGTGTGTATGTCCGTTTATAGAAGTTGTGAAAATAGTTAACGTGAAATACATTATTTATTATAATAACAAGTATATAGAATGTATAATATATACATAAAACACATGCTATTAATTTAACATACATATATGAAAATATATTAGGCTTTCGTTATCTAACGCAGTGTATTTTAATATATAATTGTGAGAAGTGTGGACAGTCTTGTTTTGATATTGAAACGTGTCTCCAAATGTCGTTTATTGGGATTGCTCGGCCTCGACAGTGGACAATGGAGGATACATCTGAGCGATGACGCCAAAAAAGTTGTCTAGCCTTTCAGCCCTAGGATGAGCGTGTTTAAATAGAAATTTGAATAAATATCCCTCGACATGGTACGATCGAGTTCCATACTTTGGGATATTTGCTCGAACTTCTCTCCAAACACGCTCAATGTGCTGAGTATGGGCGCCTGTAAAAAAAATATATAAAAACTACGTCTAGGCTCTTTTTTGCATTTTTTTTTTAATTGTAACTATAATTATGTAGCGTTATTTACCAGTATCTGGATCGACGAAGTTGTACGTATGATTGACTGTCAGATGTTGGAAGCCCTCACTGTTAAGACAATTATAGGACTTCCAACAATCTGAAACAATTGTCGTTCCTGGCATGATCCACTCCTTAATGCATGCCAGAAGCGTTTCCTCCGTTCGATCTTCTACTGGCACAATGAATATCTTTTTCGACTCTCGCTCGAATCCTCCAAATATCCAATTGCCTTTCAAGAGACGACCACGGTTGTATTTCCGATGGCCAATTTTTGCCTCGTCGATTTCAACAGTGCGTCCTGGACCTCCAAGTTTTGCACTACACTTATCGGACCAGTATGCACAGACCTGTAAATATAAAAAATAATAATATATATATATATATATATATATATATGTGTGTGTGTATAGTTAGTGCACAATATTAAAATATTTATACCTCACGGCAAAAACTGAACCAGTCGACAACCGTGCTGGAAGAAATCCCAAGTTCTTCTTCGAGGTCTTCCTGTCGAGGAGGGCGTAGCATAAGGAAACTCGCTATAATTTTGCAGATTGTAGCGAGTTCCAAATTGCTATTTCCAAACCAAGTGCCTACTTTGGCACTTTTTTTGTAATCGCATTGTTTGGAGACACGTTTCTTTTTTTGTGACGATGCTATGGGAACCGTTTTTCGACATCGAAACAGCAATGTCTCTTTGTTGATGATTAATTTTTCACCACGCTGCTCACAATTAATTTCCGATGGCAACACATCGTGTTGTATCAGGTAATCCACTAAATCTTCTTTTTTAGCCATTAGTTGGATAAAATCAAACAACAACATGTTAAATAATTATTGTCAAATCTGACAGCTACGAGTACGTAATAGGATACATTGGCGCGCTTCATTTCTTTAAAATTACGTGATTGTGGCCCCAGCGCATGCGCAAGTGGCCAAAGCGCATGCTCGTATCCACTCGTATCAGTATATGTTCTGTGCTCACCTCATAGAAGTTAGCCGGACAATTTCGACTTACGACATTTTTTTTTTTACGAATCGATTGTTAGTCGTTTGTTATTGATTGTTAGACTAATTAGAACGTTTGTTAGTTAATAGTTTTTACGTAATCACAAAAATAATTTTTAGTGTTAATTTAGCCGGTAAATATAGAATTCTTTACAATTTTCGATTCAAACCGTGGTCAATCGATGCGGAATCGTTTGTTAGTTCCGAATATACTAAGTAAAACGTTTGTTAGATCACGGTTTCGCTAAAAAAAGCGAAAAACTGTATATCGTTTAGCTGCCGGAAGGTGGGGGTGAGACGTAGAATATGTGGTGGTTTCGGAACGCATTACGTTATAGTTTATCAACACGGGAAATGTGCTTAACCTATTTTCAATTTATTTGTCAGATTAGCATAGCATTGTACTACGACGCAGTTTACGAATATTCCGAACCGAGAATATTACGAACAGAAACCTCAACGGAGTAAAGTGAATGATACCGTATACCATAGAGAAGACAGTAAACGAAGTAAATATATGCAGAGAAGTCGCGGACGGCTTGCGTATATATTTCGATTTCGCATATTACCTCATCTCCTGTTATATAGGTAAGAAAAAGAGCAATATATTTTTCTGTAAAATCTTCCTTGCTAAGCAACGAACAATTAATGAGTAAAATTAAGGCTAGTATACATAGTCGGTTCTTATTTCAAGACAATGGCTTAAGGTTGATAATATATACGGCTCTGTTATATCTAACAATCGAGTGATTAGTTTATAACATCTCTCTCTCTCTTAAGATTACTCCAGCCGGCCTTAAATATAAAAGATCCGACAATGAAATACTACCCTACAACTTTATTAAGTGTTCCATTAAGATCTGCTGTGAGAAATTGATCAATCACAATCGAATGTGAGGAAAATAATTAACTATGATTGATTAATTTCTTAGGACTTAAGGATTACTACATATATCTTAAGGATTACTAATTATATATCTTCAGCTTATTTTCTTAATTGTTGCAATTTGAAGTGTTATCGAATTAGAAGATTGCAAAGAAATTAATTAAATTAGGGACATCGCGGTGCGGTGTAGTACAGGAGGTGAGATTTATTGCTAAAAGAAAATCATTTAAATCCTTTTTTATTTTTGAAATAGCAAGTAGACTGTTCATGACGTTCAGATATTCTATCAAATCCATTATTGAAATTAATTAATCTGCAATCATCTGACGACGATGAAATTCTATCGTTTCTCTTCGAAATTTTCTCGTCTTTTTCGTCTCGCATATAATTTATTATATTTCATGTCGTGGCTTTCAATCATTGACGTTAACATTTATGATGATTTGGCTACAGCCATCCGGACGTGTAGTCCAAACACCAAAATCAACCCTCACCTCGCCGTGTATATACGTTGTTAGGGTTTCCATTCTACACAAACGAAGCAATTGTATTAATCGAATACAACGCGACATTAATATCGATTATTAATACATACATTGTACTTTAAATTTTAAAAATGAAGTCTTAATTTAATTAATTTTTTGAATTATCTTTGAAGTTGGTTAAAATACTTTTCTCTTATTGTATACCTATATTGTATATTGCATTTATTTTTCAAGTTCAGCAAGTAGACTAAAATTTGTTTTTGACGTTAAAACATTTTAAATATTAGTGATATTGACTTCTATCCATAAAAAATGACACACACTATCAACATATATGCCTCATCGACAAATAAAGGAGACATCCTCTTTCTAGACTTAATTACTGGTGAGATAATCTTTAATACGGATCTTGATAGCTGATTCTTTTCTTTTATATACATATATATATGTGTGTGTGTAACAAGGCCTATTATTTTTACAGTCATACGAAGTGCAATTCTTTGCGGCGACAACTCTGCACGTAAAGATATCCAAGCAGTGGAATGAAGTGCTTGAAGCTGAGCATCCATTGTTAAGGGAACGTTCTTTCAATAGTGTGAAGAGACCCAACATCACTTTGCATCCTTATAAAGCTTTGTCAAGCGGTAATACATCATTCCCTGTGTTATTTAAGAAAAGAAGAGCATACCATAAATAAGAAAATGGACCTCCTTTTGTTAATTATCTAACATGTACTGTTTTCAGTTAGCCGTGTTTGTGGCCAGCGTTTAGAGTTCAGAAAACAGGGAATAGGATAGGAGCGTAGTCGACGAATTGCTCGACATGTCACCTTATGATTCTCTTCCGTCTGCGTTAGAATTATTGTTTTGTGTGCTCTCAGTGCTTCCTGTTGAACCGGTAAAATATAACAATCACCCCACCACCACCACCATCATCATTAACCGTCGTTTATAAAAAAGAGGCCGCAAGAGGACGAGCGACAAATGATATTGACTGGTTAGTAAAAAAAATACAGTTTATCGATTTAGGATTAATAGATTTAAATACAATAAGATTTATTCTTTCTGAAAAGAGGAGTCGGGTTTGTTGCTACTTATGTACTGCATATTGCAATGTATAAAATACATTTATAATTAAAAAATGTGTTTTGCTTACTGAATGTACCTGTTACTAAAGGTTACTTTCTTTTTTTTTTTTATCAGGTTTAGTCGTAATGGCGAAGCTCGCCGAAGAGCCGCTGGAAACGGAAGACATTCTAACGATTTGTTGGGAGCAGAGTCAACACAAGTACACAGAGAGAAGATTACTAGCTGTTGAATGTTGCTCCTACATACCAATATCAGCTGCTGTTAGAAACTCGTTGATGCTGTCAATGCGCTTCCGGAGTAGTACTACCGGAACTGAGGCATCTCAAAACGTTGGTAAATCAATGCCTACCTCAGCAAGAAGATGCAGTGCGTTTCTTGCTCAGAGAAGCGGAGTGCAGGCAGTATTTACTGAATGAAGCCAATAGATAGGTATTGAATAAAAATAATTATGTTAATCTAAACATATCTGATCGTGTTTATAATAATTGACGAATTAATAACTATAAGACATACAGAGGTAAAGAAATATAAGAAATTTTATATTTTATTACTGTAATTTATCACGCGGTGCAATCTTTCGAACATCCCTCATTATTATAGCGACACGCTAATTTTCTTGGAATTTTTGATTGCCGAAAAAAAGATCTCCTGATCTCGGCAGACCAGGCAGCGACCTGGATTTGAAATTACTGTGATTATATAATTGTAATCTACAGTCGCAATAATCCATAGTAGATTTGGTAGAATATTTCTGAATTTCGATATCTTTGGACCATTGAATACTTTTCTAGAAACATTATGTATCCTGTACACATTTTCTCGATAACGAAAAATGTTTAAACGTTTGTAAAAAAATTATCTTCATTCCAGGACACTCGACGAGCTCCGGGTTTTCCCTATCGATGACGACGGTGAATGTCTGCCAAGGATATGCGCCAGAAGATGAACAAGATCTCTTCAACAGAAAATTGAATCGCCCAGCATGTCGAGTATTTTCCGCAAGAAGTAAACTCCCCTTTGTGTCTTATAGCAAGAAATTCTGTGTGAGAAAATCGAGTATCACGTCGGCAAGAGATTCGCGAGTGCAAGCACAAAAAATTGTTGTTAAGCATAAATGTATAATGTTGTTTCAACGAATGTTAACTTATTTTTTTATCGCGCTAGCTCTATGAGTGACGTGTAAATTATTTTGTTTAAATATTAACACGGTCTGAGGAGTTTAGAGATGAGAAAAGACGAATGTTTTTTCACGTTTTGTAAAATTCGGATGTCCATTGTGTCTGCACTCTCGCAGCGTTTGGAATTTTCTCACTTTCTCATGATCCTCTTTAGGTAAAAGAAAAGAAAAAGAGTAAATTCAAAACGCCACGATTAACAGTAATTAATGTTTAATTTCGAAGTCTGTCACTTTACATAGTAATAAACAAACGTCATAGATCATATATCATATCAAATTGTATATCGCATATCCGCATATACATATATATATAATACACAAGTGTTTTCCTCGTAGAATAATTTACAAAATCAGACTGTCTAGAAATACAGTTGCGTCCTGTTCCTGCTCGGTTCTGTTTTCCGTTATTTTTTTCTTTCTTTTTTTATATAATCACAGCTTATCCTGATACGTAAAAAAAACATTGCTATTGTATTTTCCTTTTTCCGTTCGATAATTAATCGACACAATCAGAGAGTTTCTCTGAGACATTCGTAAACTGCGATATGAGAATTAAGGTTTCTCTGGGATATTCGTAAACTGCGTCGTAGTGAAATGCTGTGCCAGAGATTCTGGAATATTTATCACAGTAGGTTGCGCCGGAAGTATAAGCTGAAATAAATATCAGTGATATATTTGTATGATATTTATTTTCAGTGAAAGATTAGTTTTTAACATAAATTACAATCCTTGTATAATTTTAATTTAAATATGAAAAATAAATAAAATGCAAACAGCAGGAATAGTTTTTAGTTGTTGAAAAATGTATCCGGCACAAACGCTTTATAGCTTATCTGTAATATATATGTATATTAACTAAAATTTAATTACTAGCTTACCTTGTTCTTAATACTCATTAGGTCATAATCCTGCTCTAGAATCCGTTTTAATGTGCTATCTGTAGCAAGATCATCGCCTGGTTTCATACTGGCTCCAGATTGGCTACTACCACCCACTGTGTTCATCGTTACTCGTTTCACCCATGTAATCAGAACTACTCTCTGTATCCTCTTCTATGTTTACGTCCTATAAATTACAAATGTAATTCTTATAAACTTTTCTTACTTTCGCAATCCTCGGTCTGCAATATCATACGGATAAATTAAATCATGCAGTAAATTAAACCTTTCATAGCGCGGCAACGTTAAGAAAATTACGCCCTCACAACACGATAGTCAATCAGCGTTACACATATTTTTTAAGTTATTGCTACTATCTCTTTCTGTTATTAAATTATAAAAGTTCTGAAACGTCCAAAATCAAATTTGTAACTTGAAAATGAAACTTACTTCTGTATAATAATCAGCGTGTTGGCCTGAACTGCCATCTTCGGAAATTCCGGTCGTAGATGATGCAGCTCGACTGCCACCGCTTCTCGCTCTACGACGAGGTTCTTGATGCTCTGTTTCGTTTCGATTAAGCACTTTGACATCTTATGGCTTCTCTTTTTGCGTTTGTCCCAAGACAGATTCCAACCCTTACACAATGACAAAATATATTTATATTTCTTTAATGTGTACTTTAATATGATTTGTACAAGATTAAGTAGCTTCGCTAATGCTTTTCTAACTTACTTGGAAGTGCATGAAGTATTCCACTGCTTTTCTACCTCTTAATGACATCAATGACATCAAGCATCTGCAAACAATTTTATAGTTAGTTTAAACTGCGAGTTTCCGTACGATGACAAAATTACTTATATCTACTTGTACATACAATATAAGTTTATTTCTATATTTCATAAATCTGTAATTTGATGTAATTGTTCAAATACAACTTTAGTAGGTTACCTCTCTACTTTTGCAATCTATATCTCTTTCATATTGCAAGGATACTTTTTACTAAGTTCAGAATTAACCCTATTCGCTCCAACCATGCCTTTCGTGTCCCACGAATTTCTAACAGTCGTTTGTGTTAAGATTATGTTTCTCAAGCTTCATTTGTAATTGCCGCCAAGCTCGTATGTAGCGCCTTTATTCTCTAGCACACGGTGCACATGTTTTTTCGTTAGCGGCGCTCTCTCATTGAGCGGTTGGCATCTTGTAGCGCCTCGTGCGCTCGCTCTCTCGATCGTTCGTTCTCTCTGCGTTATGCGTATCGCACCACGCCGATTCAGACTTAGCTATCATTATTTTTCTTTTGCGTGCGTGCAATCTACTGAACTTAGTACGTAGAATAAAGTACGTTGTTTTCTCCACAAGTCGTGTACCTGCATTATTTGTTTACCAAGATAACACTGCTAGAAGATCCTGAGATCATTTTAACAGGTTATGGGCCCAGGCCACGCCTTGAAGAAAAACGGTAACAAGTAAACTACAACGATAAGTACACTGTACAGACATGGGAGACTCAATTGACTTGAGAAGCATAACGAAGTTCAACGGAACTAACTATCAGGCATGGAAGTTCCAACTATCAGCTATATTTGTCGCAAACGGACTCACAAATATAGTTAACGGCTCAAATGAGAGAACGACTGCCAATGCAAATAAATGGGACAAATCTAACGCAAAAGCAATGGTGATCATCTCCTCTACCGTAGAATCCTCACAGCTCGAATATCTCTTGACCTGCGAGAAGGCATCTGATATGTGGAAGCGACTCAGCGCAATTCACGAACAGAAGAGTGATTCGAACAAATTACTCTTGATGACGAGGTTTCACGACTACAGGATGGCATCGAATGATAATGTTGCACAACACATTGCGAAGATCGAGAATATGGCACGCCAGCTAAAGGATCTTGGTGAGAACGTTTCAGACATAACTATCATGGCTAAAATTCTTGGCAGCCTACCCTCAAAATTTAGTGCATTCGTTACAGCTTGGGACAGCGTTGCCGCGGATCACCAAACTCTTCAAGCCCTGACAGAACGTCTTATCAAAGAAGAAGGGAGGATGACGGCAACAGATGAAATAAGCAGTGCGCTCGCAGCCGTGAATGTAAAGTCAGAACGAGGAAAGCAGAAAAAGGCGATGGACAAGAAAGCACAAAATCCCAAGAAGGATGTAACATGCTACTACTGTCAAAAGCGTGGACACATTGCCAAGGAGTGTCGCAAAAGAATAAGAGACACGGAAAATCGAGACAACGCTAAATCATCAAAGGGAAACGACGATGCAACTAATGTCAGTGCATTTCTAGGTGAAGCTGTGGAGGCAGTTTCGACCATCACGAAGGAGGACGTTTGGTTACTCGACAGTGGCGCGTCGAAGCATATGTCATTCCGTCAAGAATGGTTTTCCGAATTGCAACCCTGTGAAAATGAGCATGTGTTCCTTGGTGATGGCACAAAATGCAATGTCACCGGTCGTGGCAGAATATACATCAAGAGGTTAATTGATGGAAAATGGATGGATGGAATACTTGAAGACGTATTTCTTGTACCAAACCTCAAGAAAAATTTGTTCTCAGTTGGCGCCTGCATCAACAAGAATTACAAGATCATCTTTGGAAGAGAGCGTATTGAATTTCGCATGGACAACGTACTGAAGGCTCAAGGCATCAAGTATGACAATAATCTGTTTCGAATGCTAATAAGAATACAAAACGAGAATAGCGCGAATCTAACAGTCTCAAGTTTAAAGCGTTGGCATGAGCGCTTAGGCCACATCAACCACACGTACGTACGTCAATTATGCAAAGATGGGCTAATCAATGGAACCGAAGCAGAAAATGAAAAGGACATGTTTTGTGAAGCATGTCAATATGGGAAGCAACATCGCTTACCTTTCAAGAACGTTTCTGATAAGAAGCCATCGGCTGGAGAGCTCATCCACAGTGACGTATGTGGACCAATGTCACAAGAATCCATAGGAGGATTCAAGTACTTTGTGACTTTCAAGGACGATCATTCAGCCTACCGCAAAGTGTACTTCATAAAACACAAGTCCGATGTCTTCGATAAATTAAAGGAATTCATCAATCAAGTTGAGAATAAGTTTCAAAAATCCGTCAAAACCTTACGTGTGGATAATGGCAGAGAATACTGCAACGAACAGACGTCAAGATATTTGCGTGGAAAAGGAATCAATCTGGAGACAACTGCACCCTACACGCCACAGCAAAACGGGCGAGCTGAAAGGGACAACAGGACAATTGTTGAGTGTGCGAGAGCCATGCTTTACGCGAAAAATCTTCCTACATATTTGTGGGCAGAGGCCGTAAACACAGCTTGCTACATTCTCAATCGCACGCCAACATCCTGCAATCAAGGCGTGACTCCATATGAGATGTGGACTGGAAAAAGGCCGCGCCTGGATCACATCAAGACATTTGGATCAGAAGCCTTCGTGTACATCGACAAGCAATTCAGAAAGAAATTGGACAGAAAATCACGAAAAGTGATACTGGTAGGTTATGAAGGAGAGTCGTGCAACTATAGACTGCTTGACCTGCAAACAAGGAAAATAACAATATCCAGAGACGTCGTGATACATGAGACAGACGAGCATTCAACATCGGATTCGAATGAAGATGCAGAAACCTCCATTAGTTTAGCACCATCAACGCAAGTGGAAACTGTGCAAACGGAGAAGATTCAACTTCAAAAGAAGGAGACAGTCAAGAAAGATGATTCTGCAACAACCAATGATCGTACTCTTAGAGACAGAAGCGCAATAAAACCACCAGAACGTTACGAGGCGAACGTAATAGAGTTTGATGAGCCAGCAACATACGAAGATGCATTGTCCGGACCAGACGCCAAGAACTGGATTCATGCTATTGAAGAGGAGCTCAAGGCACATGAGATTAATGGAACGTGGACAATTCAGGATCTACCTGCGAACAAGAAACCAATAGGATCTACATGGGTCTTCAAGATAAAACGGGACATACCAGGAGGCTCCCATCGATACAAGGCTCGACTCTGCGCTAAAGGATATTCGCAAAAGCACGGAACTGATTACAATGAGATATTTGCACCAGTTGCCAGGTACGATTCCATTCGCACAATGTTAGCCAAGGCAGCAAAGGAGGACCTAAAAATTGCTCAGTTTGACGTAAAAACTGCCTTCCTTAACGGCAGTGTATCCGAGGAAATTTACATGGAAATACCGCAAGGGATCAATCCAGGTTTGGAGGGTAAAGTATGCAGACTTCAAAAGTCTATATATGGCTTAAAGCAAGCATCACGAGTATGGAATCTTGAGTTTGATTCATTTCTAAAGCGTTATCATTTCGTTCAGAGCAAATCCGATCCTTGTATATACATTGGTAGAGTC